ATTAATTTGAAACATTGAGAAAGATCATCGTAATGTCATCATAGATGGCTGCTATAGGATGAAACATTTGAACTTGTTTAATATATGTGTCATCTGCGAATTGTTATTGTTTCTAGGATTGGTTTGAGAGCGAAATAGCATACTGATTGTCATAAGTATAGAACTGGCACTTAAGGGCCAGGTTGCATAACGAGTAATGATTCCTGGAAAGTTCTCTTCTCTTTATTGAGTGGTAGAAAGTTCCTTTTTTTGCGACGATAAAGGCTGAAAAGTACTAAAGACGTCTTCTATATAAAGGGTTTCGATGTGTTTGTCAGTGTTGGAGCTCTTCAGCTCTGAATCATGGTACTCCACTACTTTCCGTAGATACATTTTACAAGCTTGAGGAACATCAAAGGTCCGTGAAGTCGGGTTTATGAATAGCTGTCCACTCGAAAATCGCCGAGTTTTCAAGAGGCTAACAAAATTTTGCTGTTCATAGTATCTAGAGTTTCTTTTAGGTGAAACTGACTCAGGATGATCGATTTACAACAGCAGCCAAAAATTACTGCAAGGACGAAATGGCAAAGAATCCATGTATGATTTAGGACTATCATCCGTCAGACAAGATCTATCTTTTTTTTTGTGCAAATACCTATATTTCAGCGATGGCAAAGTGTGCTGATTTGGTAAAACCAGGCTATGCGCTCAGTTGTATGCTTGATTTTGTTACAAACGTCACTGCGGCTACCCAATGCCAAGCTTTCTTAGGTAAGTTTTTTCATATTTTCTTATACCTTTAGCTCATAGGTAGTAAACTTGAGGTGTGAAATTCTTTCTCTTTTTCTTACCTTTTCATTCTGTGAAAATGCAAAAATCAAGCACATGAAATTATGTTCCATTTTTTCCAAATGTAATTTCAGCCAGAACTGAGCGTCTCGCATTTGCTGACTTCCGATTAGTCGGCCCATTCGTTGAAAAATGTGGACCTACAGTGAGTCAACTGGGATGTGGCACCCTCACTCCGCATAGTGCGCATCAGGGAGTAAAAGTTCCCCATACACAAGGTGGATTAGGAATTTGATTCTTTCTGGAAAATAAAATGTTCTTCCATTTTTATTTCTTGGTGTTTTTCTTTGCGGTTTCTTTTTTTGATATATCAATTCCA